GGAGGGAAGGGAGATATCCTTACTTCTAAGTGGTCAACAGGTCGGGGAGAAGCACAATATTTCCACCAAGTTATTTCCACCAAGAACTGAATAACTTATGGAGTGTTTCTTGCCCTCAATTTCCAGATTTCTGTTTGTCTAAATCTTCTGATATCCTGCGTCATTAACTGTTTTCGATACAATTAAATCAAAGGTAAATTCGGTGAACTTTCACTGATTCTTAAACTTAACGGGATTCTGTCTGAGATGCAGCAGCAGGGCCCGACTACACCCCAGTGATCAGTGAATTACCATCCCTTTGTTAAATATAGTCAGCCTTATTTACAGACATCAAGTTAGCCGAAACCTACAATGAGGTTCAGAGATTCGGATCACTCCGTTTTGTTGGAAAACTGGAATGCTTATTGTTGTTTGTGTTGCCAAAGTCTATGTTTTCACTATCTAGACTGATAAAGAAAAACAAACAAACCGAGAACATTTCTCCGGCCATTTGCCGAACTAACCCTGCCTCCGGATGCGTTGCTGGAAGGGCAAAGGAGAAAATATTGGGGACATCAATGTTTACGGGACTGATTTTCTGTGTAGACCGTCAGAAACGTGCCAAGTAACCCCCATGGAAATCCAATGTTCCCACTTGAAGCCCTCAATTTGATCGGAGTTCGTTGCTGAAGTCTGAAAGGCTCAGAGTCGGGGGAGGGATATCCAGACGATAAGAAGATTTTGAAGTGGAATATCGAAAAAAAAATGGGGGTGGGGGGAAGAACCTTCGCCCTCTAATCCACATTGTTCACTTGTTTCTAAATCCAGGTGATCTTCATTCCCAAATGTAGACCACCCTTCACTCTCTAATTCAAACCACAGTTCACCCTCCGATCCAGACCACAAATCACTGTCTAATCCAGATCACAATTCACTCTCTGATCTAGATCACAATTCACTCCGTAACCCATATCACACCATTCTATAATCCAGATTACATCTATTCTCTGATTCATTTCACACTTCACTCTCTAAACCAGATCACATTTATCAGGCACGTCGCACTTCATGTCCTGTCACACTAATCCGGCTCACGTTTCACAGAGCCCTTGTATTGCCGAAGCCTTCTACCCCTCATTATCTTATAGTTGTATTGTCCTGTATCAGAAATGGATATGAATCTGGAAGACCTCAAGCACTTTTCATTGCGATGGTTATGAATTTTTAGCAAATCAGTTTGAGTTGTTAAATGCTGTACGGTGCATCGTGCTGCTACTTTCTGTAGTGAGGCGCGTCGCGTTTACACAGAACAGAACCTAAGCGTTTTTGCGTTTGGGATGTTCTAGTCTAACCGGCTGAAATTACGTTACCGAGTTGCTTCCACCTTAAAAAATAGGTGAATCAGAATTAAACTCGCAAGTTTTATATTTCAATGTGAGTTTTATTACCAGCTTGAAACCGCTCAAATGGTGTAGAAATTATGTAATAGAAAGTTGAACTGTCCTTTGCATTTACAAATCCTTATCTTACATTTTTTTAGCAATTAAAAAAATTCAAATCCTGTTTATTTCTTTAAAGGTGAATGTTGCAGAGAGGTGTGAAGTCTAGATCAAAGGACAGGGAATCACAGTCTGGGTCCTCAGTAAATATCCTTTCCCACTTGTCAAATCAAAGTTAGCCGCGTCATTAAAGAGTTAATTTCACGAAACGGCAAAGGGGGATTTTACAGAAATATCGGACCAAAAGAATGTCCGGATTTTTGGTTAAAAACTGTAATTTTCCACTTGTTGTAGATCTCCGAATAGAAACTGCGCCGCACAGACCCAATTCACAGGATTTTCATGGTATTTAAAGATCACTCGGATTTAGCCGAAAGATCGCACAGATTTTAACATCAGTCCCGTGTAAACTAGGGTGAACCACGATGCGCCGGAAGGATGGGTCCAATTTCGGCTGAGGAATTCATCAAAAAAACCCGGCTAAAAAAAATCTGTATAAATTAAACAAACCTCCTAAAATAAACAGCCCTTCTCAAGATCTCGCCAGTTGAATTGCGATAGTGTGTTATTTTGAAGACACGGTTGATGGGATTTTAACCGAGGTCCGAACCCCCCCAACCCTCCGTTTAAATAACAAACCCGTCTGCACAGAATTTGCAAGTTACAGACAATCGCCTTTAAACACAGATTCCATACTATCCCTGCTGTCGTTCCGTCTCACTTTAAACGGTGAAGAATCAATTTTGCTTTTACAGGGGAAATTGTACATTTCTGCATTTTTTTAAATACATGAATAAGCAACAACCTTTATTTCAATGCATAATATTATCCTCAGCTCAAACCAGAGGGCCGCGGCGTTGAGAGTGGGCAGATGTTGTTTGGTGAGGTGATTAAAGGTTCGGATTTTCAGTATAATTCAGTGGGAAACCCGCTGAAATTAATCTTCAGTATCTGGGTCAACAAAATACATCGGAGAGAGAGTAAGAAAGAAGCCATGGAACAGCAGGGCAATTCGAGAGACCATAACATGAAACCTGAGGGGAGAAAAGACCAAATCGAGAAGGGGATTCTAAAAGATAAAATGTAGCTACAGATCCCCAGCTTTGATTTCACCGACTGAATGTTAACTAAAACGAAAAGGGCCAATTTGTGCTGCAAAAAGGCTACGGAAACGGATTTCAGTTCGAAAACGCTTTTGTTTTGGAACGGGACCAGGCTTTTTCGTTGGTGCCTACTCTAGGTTTAAGTCCCTGAAAAAAACTCTTCAAAATTGAACCCCACCTCCCCTCCACCCACTCCTCCCTCATTCTTCCAATCGCAATATACCAGTTGTTATCTAAGAAGTCCTCAAATCACCCCACCTTCTCTGTCGTCCTGTAGTAACTAGACTGCTGTGCCGTGATTATACGACGGTTGATGCAAAAGTATATTCAATGAAATTATTTTTAAACAATTATTAAATTATCCTGTGCGTATCTTTCCATATACTACTGTAAGGATACGCATCTATGGCTCTATCTATCCGATATTTCTCTCAGTATGTCTGTGCTTATTTTATATGTCTCCATCTAGCTCAGCTTTCGGTACATAATCTCGGTTTATTTCTAGTAGATATATTAATTCCATAATTACATATTCACGGTGTACAAAGTAACTCTGACCAAGAGCAAAACCATCAGACTGGAGATCATTCTTCCGAGAGTACACCGCTTTATTTCCACCCCAGCTCCCCCCACCCCCAAAGGTGTGCTGTGTTCTCCTGCTAGACAGGACTTGTTTCAAATAAGGGCCAGGCCTGCAGTGCACAGACAAAGCGCGGAATCTACTTTCGCTCCCACTGTTAATAAAAGTCAGGAAAATCGCAGGCACTGGCGGCAATTCATTCATTACCAGGTCAGGTTTTCAACTTGGCAAAATTTCATCGAAATAACTGTATAAACTTCGCCAGCCGCAAACCGTTAACAATACACAGCGTTTATACAACGGGTTTTGAAATGATGCATTATGCCACAATGGCCTGTATATGTTGATACCAATCACCCCACAATATTCTCTAATATTGATACAAATATCATACAATAAGCTGTGATATTGATATAATCATCTCATAATAGTTTGTAATACTCATAAAAACCGTTTCACAATTGTTTTATATTGGTACAACCATCCTAAGTCCATAGAAAGTGCTACTCTTCACCCCCTCGCCCCAGGGCAATGTGATTGACTCACTTGGTATCTATCGGAAACTTTCTGGCCAACTAATTCATTTTAATCTAGCTTAATCACATAACCCGCTGTTACCCAGCGTTAGCAGGTCTATCGCTTCCCTCTAACAGGGAATATCCGCCCCCCTCTCTGTTGTGACTTGTTATTTAAACAGTCCCGCCTCTCTTTAAAACAGTTTTCTGATTTGACCTGTGTATTTGGTCCTTGATTTCGAACTGGAACAAACACGTATGGCACAGAATGAGAAAACTGTTTTCTGTGTAACACAGCAGCGGGACATTCAACGGAATGCGGACTGCTGTTGTATGAGTTACGCTAAATATCAAAGTATTGATTCAGCTTGTATTTACAACCGTGTTCCCTCACTGTCAACATGAACCCTACACAAGTATCAGAATACGCGTGCATTCGCCCAGCAACACACGTCTAAAACAATACGGTTACTGGCATCAAATATATGATTTCGTAATGTGTTGCAAGTCAGTGCTAATAATAGGAAACCTTGAGACATGACATGTGTTTGTGTGTGGGTGAAAGAGAGAAAGTGTATGTGAGAGAAATGAGGTGTTCATGTGTGAGTGTGAGAGAAAATGTTAGTGCGTGTGTCACAAAGAGGGGCACTTCTGAAAGCAAGTGTGTGAGACAAAATTAACGTGCGGGAGAAGGTGTCAGTTTGGGCGAAAGTGTGTGTGTGAGAGAATGGCTGCAAGGCAGAAAGGTTATGTGTGAAATAGAAGTGCTTGAGAGAGGAAGTGTATATGAGAGAGTGAAAGCGTGTGTGAGAGAGAGAAAGGATTTGTCGGAGAAAGCGTGTGAGTTGGAGAGAGTGTGCATGAGAGAGAAAGTGTGCATGTGTGTGAAAGAGTGGGCGAGAGAGTTTGAGTGTCTGTGTTGCGTATGTTGTTTGAAGCGAGGTTGCTGATTAGGTTTGTAAGTATATAGGGCCAGGTTTCCACGTGACAACACCAAGTGGCGATTGAAGTGATAGAAAGCAAACCACTTTTCGGCAGAATGTCAGGGGTGATAGTGGGCAAGTTAGAAAGACCTTAAAGTATCACGCCAACTGCTCCTACACAAGCAATAAGCAGCAACCGTATGTGATGCAGCGACAATGTACACATGATTAAATCATAATACTCCGGGAAGCAAACCCTTCTCAAACCTATGGTGCTATAGATGTGCCCAACAGGCACTTGGGCACAATGTACGCCTTGAGTGAGAATGGCAGCCTGCGTGGGTGTTTGGTAGGGCACGCTGCCCTTTGAGGGTGGTCATACATAGCGCGAACTGACTCACTTGAAAAAGTCTTCCTTGCAGTAAACGTTGCCGGCTCTGGAGAAGCACTTATCGGTGAGCTGTAGCTGACAGTCAGCGCACTTCAAGCATTTGCTGTGCCAAGAGCGGTCTAGCACTTTCAAGATGAACTTGTCCAGGATGTGCTGGTTACAGCCCCCGCAGAGCGGGATCTCTGTTAAAAGAAAAGGGAGAGGAAGAGGACTCAGTCTAAAAAAAACAAAATACAATGCACGCGACAACAAAAATGAACCCTGCAGGAATATACTTTTAACCTCAATAACTAGGGATCAAGGGAAGAAATTACACACGTGTGAGGGGACCAGAGCAGAACAGAAATCAAGCACAAAATCAGGCCATGAAAAGAGGTAACAAATCTTAAATAAAGGGGGCAAAAGACTTTTACACAACAACTTCGGTAGGATATGAACACCACGGATTGGGAAGTGAAGTTGTCGAGGAATTTTTAACCAGATCAAACACCCACTATTAATTTGTTTTAACACGACTGTTATTCGGCAATATTACATCAAGTGAAAAGTGGTACTTTACAGAAGTAGGAATTTAAAATATTCCAAGTCTTCTGCTAGGATATTTCTGAGCACAAGGAGAGGGAGAATTCTCCTATTCATCTTTGACAGAGAAGTGGAGGAATGCTTTGGCAACCTGTCAGCGTGTGTGACAAGTGGACTGTCCTACACATGCATTCCGATAATCCAGAACAAAAACAGGGACAAGCCGTGAACAGCCTCAAGGTCGTTTCATCTAGAAAATATTGTCATTTCAACCGACAATATGGGGCAGATTGATTTTTATTTTGACGATTTCCGATTTCGATATTTCCAACCACAACTCCGGAACAACAATGTTTAAAATGTAACGGCAAACTATAGAAAAAAAAACAAACACCTTTTCAGTACAGCGAAGACAGTTCGAATGAGAGAAAAATGGAATGAGATGCTGTCCGAGGTTGCTCGAAAGTGACCAGACTCCCCATAAGTTGAGACTAAATAAGAAATCGAGGTAAATACAATTTCACAGACGTGGAATATGCCCGTGTTCAGGGAGAAAGTGTTCAAAGATGTAACGTTTAAAAAAAACACACAACGATTTAAACAAAGCCAACAGGTTCCGTCGCTTATAAAGGAAGAGTATCTGTAGGAAGGTTAGTGATAAGATTAGGAATTATTGTACCATGCAAGATCAGTGTGAAATATACTGACTTTTCACTCCATTACAAAAAGCCCTGCATGTCATTGACATTTGAAAGCAGAGAAATAGAAATAAAATTAACTTGCATTCAAATTTAAAATATAAAAAAAAGCTTGAGATTTGGATCGGGGGCTCATTCACGGCATCAGGTCCTGAAAGGCTTACACTTAAACAGGCGGTTGAAATCTCACTCAGCTTTCATTCATCGGGACAGCTCCTTGCGGCTGCCAGTCAACAGCTCGCTTGAAGCAAATAAACTCAATGCTGCCGCTTTGTCCCGTTGCACGGGGGACGCAAACTGCCAGCCAACAAACCGAGAACGCAACTGGCAATTAAAAGCATGTTTCCCCAACGCACTTCTCTCTTATTAGATAAATCCTCAACATCCACCCCGACTAGACATGAGTATCCCCTTCCTGATTACTGAGTAACTCAATCTCCACACGTTAACCCAGTTGTCTTGAAGACTTCTTTGGAACCCTATTTAATATTTGACACACACAAACACACACATATATATATGAAATCAATAATACCCCTTTCAGCTAAAGAGACAGGGACAGATGCTAGCAGCATGCCCCGGGCTGTTAGTGTGCCTTGTTGACACGTGAAAAAAATCAGAAAGACAGCCTTGGAGATAAAACCTGATGAAGACCATTTATCTGTGCTCCCTGAATATGTGCACCAGGCGGGCTGTCCATTATAACTGGGCTTCCCGTCTCCCTGTTGCAGGTTCCTGCACTGCCTTGTTACTGCTTTTGACTGAATGGTCTCTGACGGTATCACACGCTTTAGCACCCACCACCCCCCCACCCCAGCGCCCGCCTCACACCCACCCCCCTCTCCAGCTACCACTTAGAGCCAGATTGGGACCAGACGTTAACATTCCGGTAAACTCTGATGTCCAAATTCTTGAATCTGTCCAAGGCTTGTGCGTCTTCTTTGCCGAGTCATGTCAGCTGAGATGACAGGTTTTTTTTTCAAAAAAAAGATTTCTCCCGCAGCGTTGGCTGGCCTGAACTTGTTGCGGGTATTTTTTTTTGAAACTCCAGAATTGCGGAGCAGTGCAGTCCGTGCGTATCCCTTCATGTCCTGGGAGATCTTGCATGCTGCAGGACATCGCTGGCAGCCTGCGCTTCATAAACAGGTGATTGATGTAACCCACAGGATTTTCTTTATCCCCGTTCTCTTCCCGTCTACTGATTAAAAGTTGCAACACTCACGTTCCGAACCAAATACACTGCAATGGTCAGTAACATATTGGCCTTTAGCGAGAAAATCAGGGCCTTATGCACAATGCAGCCTGCAATTCATTTAAATTCCTCATTTGAATTCCTGCAGCAAAGCATCCATCTGATATCCCTTCTGATACATCCTTCTCCAGAGCAACACCCCCCCCCCCCCCACCCCCCTCCCCGAGCCCCCACAACCTCAGCACGCACCCCTTTGCTATGAAATGCAGATTCCCCGTCGCATTGGCATGTGGAATGTTAGTAACAAGGCTTCCCCGCGGCTGTATAAACGTCCCTGGGATTAAAAGCTCCTTACGTTGTACCGTGACTCCTAGCAGCTCCCGAACTCCTTTTCCGGGACTCTCTGTGGTCACGGCTGTACTTTGCATCATTTTGTTTTTTTTTTCCAAACGAAGTGTCCTTCCCCCACTATACCTCCCTGCCACCCCTTCTTCCAACACCCCCACCTCCAATAACGAGAGAGCTATCTGTCTAGATCTTTGTACAATCTAATTCTAAAAAAAAACGAAAAAACGAATCTGTCCAGATCTCAATGAATAAATCCACTGGCCCAGTGGCTGTGTTGATGCGGGATTTCCCTTCTCACTGATCCCTCCAGATCTCTCTCTCTCACATCCAGTCAGTCCAACACATCATGACATCATGGCTCCCCCCTGCCAATCAGACAGCGAGGATCCCCCTTCCTCCTCCACTCCCCACCCCCAGGGGGCGCGACTTTGCCATAAGAGGAGAGCATTTCATCTGGGTGGGCGGGACCTTCATTAATTGGGCCTTGGTTCGAATCAATGCACCACCTTATCTTGCCTTCTCGTCAATTCGCAGAAATCAGTCCAACAGGCGCAGACTTGCATGCTCTAACCCTCCCTGTGCCCACTGTTGCTTTTTGTTTTGCTGATGGATCCTTGGTCCGGGATGACTGTCTATCAGGAGGGCCCTGGCTGCATTGGGATATTTACACAGTGACGCATTCATTCCAATACTCACAGACACGGACAGTTCTGGTACGGTCACCGCATTGACTCAGAGAACGTGCTTTGCAACCCTTCCATCTCCCTACCAGAGCATTTCTCCTCGGTCCAGCACACTTACCCCAGGAGTAACCCTCAGGATCTGTCATTACCAGCCCACACGCTTCTTGCCCCAATTGTAGCCTTGGTGCAATCCCTCACAACCTCTCGGCCCCATCCTTACTGGCCGCACCTTCAGTTGTCTAGCACCGAGGTGATGGAAGGTCCTCCCCCCAGCATGATCCCTCCCCCTCTCTTCCCTCCCTGAAGTCACCTGCCTAAAACTGGTCTCTTTGCCCACACGCTTTAGCGCCTGTTGTTATGTCTCCTTCACTGCCGCGCTGTCAATTTCGGACTGGTTACCCTCCGTAGAACACCTTAGGACGTTTTGCGAGTTAAACTGGATATACAAATGGAAGTTGTTGTTGTTACTCCTTAGTGATATTCCTGGAGGAAGATGAGGTCCACTTCCCCACGTATCTCCACAGCACCAGTCTCTCGGCTCTTCAATGAGTCTCTCAAATGCCGTTTGGAGGCTGACCGTCCGATTTTAGATGAGACACAATTTCCTCTGTCTTAACATTTGGAATATCAAGCCATCTGCAACGGCTGTATTCGATTCCAGTAAGCCGCACTCACCCTGCCCTCACTGATCTATGGGAGAAGCAGCAATAAAGTTTCAGCTTTGTGCTAATGAAAGGCCACAGATTTGAAAAGCTCTTTCTCCATCCTCAGGTGCTGCCCCACCTGCTGAGTATTTTCCATGGAATCATAGAATCCGTACAGTGCGGAAACAGGCCCTTCGGCCCAACAAGTCCACGCCGACCCTTGGAGCATCCCACCCAGACCCATGCCCCTATAACCCACCTAATTTGCACATCCCTGAACACTAGGGGCAATTTAGCATGGCCAATCCACCCTAACCACACATCTTTGGACTGTGGGAGGAGCACCCGGAGGAAACCCACGTAGACACGGGGAGAAGGTGCAAATTCCACACAGACAGTCGCCTGAGGGTGGAATCGAAGCCGGGTCCCAGGCGCTGTGAGGCAGCGGTGCTAACCACTGAGCCACCGTGCCGCCTGTGCTGGACTCCTTGACTCTTTTTCCTTCCTCTTAGCACCTGTCCTTCCACCAGTCACCTCTTTAATTACTCCACCTCCTCAACACATGCCCAATCCAAATCATACTGATAACATCAATCAAACTGCAATGTTCTTGTATTTTGGCCAAAAACTCATTCTATCTTTACCCATCTATTTTACTTCCTCATTGCGTCTCCAAACCCATGAATCAAAGGTACCTAGGACCACTATCACCTGGTTCTTCAGCTTTCACATTGCAACATTGCACAACACCACACTCCAGATTATCCTCTTCACTACTCCTGTGCAGTTCTTCAGTCGGTATGCTCGTCCTCCAATGACACGCAATTTTCATCCCACCTCACCTCATTAGTACATGCGCCATCTGTAGTTCTGATTCCAACCGCACTTCCGCCTCTCTCTCTCCCCGCCCCCCCGCTCCCACCCCCCCAACCTACGCGTTTACATTGTGTCACCGGATTCAACGAATTCCCGATTTATGAAGAGCCCCGAGTACGGCAGAACTGCATCTTGGCAGTGTACATACGGGATAGTAATAATGACCAAAGTTTAGATCTAGACCAGCCAGCTGGAAACTTAAAGGACCGGTCTCTCC